CTTGTACAAATGTAAAGACAGTATGCCATAGGCTTCCCTTACGTTGTTTAAATTTAAGGTGTTATACGTGCTTAAATTGTTGAGTCTCAGAGACGCCCGTTTCCCCAATGGCCCAAAGAGCCAGTTCTAGCACCTGATAATTTGGGCTGCAGCACTGACGGCCCCTTTAAAGGGACACCTGCCCGCCAGCTGATTGGCCGGCTGGGCTGGTGAGCAGCCGTGGATCTGGCGAGAAGCAGCAGGCACATGCCGCGCCGTAGTCCAGCGGCCATGGGGAGATTCTTTCAGGAATTGCCTCACCCCACCTGGGGGGCACTGGGCCTGTACGAAATCTGGCGAGGTCCCCTAAAAGGGTGGAGGCTGTGGCAGCCATTCCAGCTTCTGCTCCTAAGACAGATGGGAGAGGAGACAGAAACGGGTGAGCCAGACTCGCTTCCCTCGGTGTCTGAGGGTGAAGACAGGGCTTAGCATGGCTCTTGGGCTGAGGCCCTGACAACGCCTTTCTTCATTGCCACATCGTTTACATACTCCTGCCTGCAATATTTACCCCTGCTAACTTCCTTCTCTTCTTTAGTTTCACTGTAATCATGCCACACAGTACTTTTTTTTCTACTGAAGCATCGTAGTGGCGACTTTCTAGTAACCGAGACCAGTAAAAAGTTAACCGATCTTATGAAAGCACCTCCCCCAGCCCGAGAAAAGAAACAAGATGCTGCTCAGTGTGTTTGCGGAAAGAGGAACAGAAAAATAACCCCAATTTTGGTTTCGCTAGGCACCATATGAAATGAGAATTTTCACCTTGGTGTCGATTTGACCGGCACAGCCAATCAGATAAATTCATAACAATATTTTTTAAAATCTGGGCTGTAATATTTTTGGTTTTATTCTCCCCACCCTGGTTTACAAATCAATGAAACATACAAGACCTCTCTCACACACAATTCCTAGGGCTAATCACCTGAAAAAACATAGTTGCAAAGTTGAAACTCTTTGAGCTTGTCTAAGATTGTGTTGGTAATGATACCTTCATTGTTGCTAAGTTTATGAAACAATGAATCCTTAGAAATGGCAAACTTTTCTACCCCACATCTCTGCAGTGCTATGTTTCCCCTCTAGATTGTCAAGGAAGCTGGTTTTATTGGTGCTGTCTTATGGAGAAATTGGAGATACCTACAGGTAGCTATTAGCTACAACCAGTTAAAACCTCCATGTTCAGAGGCCGTCTACTGCCAAGTATATGCTTGGGTGAGCAAACTGGAAAGACCACCCATTATTTTCCTTGCTAGCTTCCTCAAAGAGCTAGTTTGGTGTAGTGGTTAAGTGCACGGACTTTAATCTGGGAGAACTGGGTTTGATTCCCCACTCCTCCACTTCCACCTGCTGGATGACCTTGGGCAAGCCATAGTTCTAACACAGCTGTTCTTGAAAAAGAGCCGTTTCTGTCAGAGCTCTCTCAACCCCACCTCCCTCACAGGGTGTCTGTTGTGGGGAGGGGAAGGGAAAGGAGTTTGTAAGCCGCTCTGAGACACCTTTGGGTAGTGAAGGGCGGGGTATGAATCCAGTCTCTCCTCCTCCTCCTTCATCTAACTGGGTGCTGCCGAAGATACAGTGCTGAATTAGACAGGCCTTTGGGCATGATCCAGCAGGGCGCTGTTATTGTTAGGTTCTGTCTTGGATTCTTGGTGGTGTGTAAGAGGCGCTGCCTTACAAGCAACTTTAAAAATGAATGTTGTGTTAGTGCAGATGTAGCTTTAGGTATGGCGGTATGAAGGGAAAGTCAAAGAGCTGCCTCCTGTGGGCAGGGTGGTTAAAGTGCGTTAAGGGGGGTAATTAATTAGCGCAAATTGATGACAGGCGGCCAGAGGGAGGGGTGGGTGAAGAGGGAACCTGTTTCAGATCTTCTGAGACTTTCCCTGCTGTTTTAATGCCTCTTCTTTGGCCCTTAACCTCTCAGGAAGATGAAATCTTGTCCAGATTCCGGGGCATTTCTGCCTACAGGGTGTTCTCGCCAGCAAAGCCCCTCCTGCAGCCCTACAGAAATGGAAGCTTTCGAGAGAGCCACTGTTTCTCCTGCACCGTCAGTGAAATTCTGTTTGCAATTAAAACTACACAGAGTAATAAGGACATTTTTGACAGGGTCTCTCCGAGCCCGGACCCTTTTCTCTGTGGTGTAGGCTGGATGCAGGCACTCCGGAACCGGAAGAGGAAAAGAGCTGGGTTGCTCTGGCAGTGCAAAGAAGACTCTGTTTCTCCTTGGGCCTCAGAGAAGCCTCGTTTCTTTGAGCTTGAGCTGCTGGGCACAGCTTACTCCATGTAGGGTCCCAAATCTATAAGGTCCCTCGGCTCATCTCTGACAGCTGTTTAGTAAGGACACCCTGACCCTGGATGGTCAGAAATCACTCTGCCGCAGCAGGATATCGGAACTGTAGCTGGGGCACTTTCCCCTTCCATAAGAACACATGGAATTCACTGCCACAGGAGGTGGCGGCGGCTACAAGCATGGACGGCTTCAAGAGGGAATTAGATAAACATATGGAGCAGAGGGCCATCAGTAGCTATTAGCCACAAGGTATAGATGGGAACTCTCAGTCTGGGGCAAGGGATGCTCTGTATTCTTGGTGCTTGGGGGGGGGACAGTGGGAGGGCTTCTGGTGTCCTGGCCCCGCTGCTGGACCTCCTGATGGCACCTGGTATTTTTGGCCACTGTGTGACACAGAGTGATGGACTAGATGGGCCACTGGCCTGATTGAACATTGGCTTCTCTCATGTTCCAAGCTCAGCTTGGATTTAAAACTCTCCAGGCAGCCCTGGGCAAGTTGCTTTCTTTTAGCCACCCCACAAAGCTGTGGCAAAGATGAATGCCCAGCGCACGTTCTTTAAAGGACAGGCAGGTCAAAATCTTTAGGCTGGGAACGAAAAGCAGTTATAAGGAAGGCTTCCCACTGGGAGAGGGATCCCTTCCCCAGTGCCCCACTGCAGCGTCCCGTCTGTCTGAGCTGACAGCACGCAGTCAGAACCCACAGCCAACAACGAAGGACACGCATCCAGGAACGGTAATACTTTTATCACAGAGCTATAGATGCAGTAACATAAGCACTGTTAAGAATGGTGGCGGCCCCATGGGCATAATAGGATATAGGGTATTCATATGCACCCCCGCCCCCAAACACTGGGCAATTAGGCACCCTCCCGCACGTGGGATAAAGCTTGGTGACCGTTAGGTAGCTAAAGCTGAGAACCAACACTCTCCCACGGCACCTAGGAAAAACCCAGACAATACAACTCCCACCTGCACATCTGTATAGATAAGCATTTCGGCGCACAGCAGAAAAAGCACAGAAAGGAATGCATTAACCAGACACAGACGGAGCTCCCCAACCCCCATGGCAGCGTAGCTGACACACGCATGGCCTGGGCCGTCTTATTTGGCCATTATAAACTGTCAGGTTGTTTTTTTCTTTGAGGTCCCAAATGACTTGGGTTGGTGGCAATGCTCCCTCTATTTGGAGTCTTGTGAGCAAAAATTCTACTTTGTGAGCTACTGGCATTAAAGTTGTGACCGAGCGATTTGGCTGCTGCATAAATTAGTTTGCTCTGGAGCCATCCTCTATGAGCTAAGAGAAAAATGTGTGAGCCAGAGGCTAATAAACTGTGAGCTAGCTCACACTAACTCAGCTTAGAGGGAGCACTGGTTGGTGGACTTTTTGTGGGTATGTTTGCAAGCGTTTGAAATCAGCGAACCCCTCTGTGGTTTTTTGACTGCCTTGGGGCTTAAGTGAGGAGTGCAGAAAACATCTCTCAGTAGAAAATATACCTCGTTCCCCAAATCGAAAATCTGGGTGGCACGCCTATTGCACAAGCTCTGCCGCTAAGCGAATGTGGCTGCGGCGCAGGATCAATACTCACATGCGTATGTATTTGTTTGTTTTGCCGGGCCTGGAGCTTTCAAAGACACAGCATTCTGAATTGTGCATTCAAAGGGACTGGGTCTCGCCGAATGTTGGGGAGAGGGTGTCCGGGGCAGAGCAAGTTGCTTTCGAGACAACTGGGATAACCTTTTTTTCCTGCCAGTTAACGCTGGGAAGTGTAAGTGGTTGTGTAGGGTTGTCATGTTATAAGACTTGTCCTTTTAGTATGGTTTGCTGGGCTTTTAATGAGCTGCTTGCTTGTTCACCTTTTAATTAGCAGAAACTGCCTGCAGATGACTGGGCAGGGAAGCTTTGTAAGCTAAACGGCCCGGTAGCTGGTTCTTTCAAGCCGTCAGTGTGCCGCAAATGAGCGCTGTGGATTTGTGCTAGGTAAAGGTAAAGGTTCCCTTGCTCGAAAGCCAGTCGAATCCGACTCTAGGGTTGCGGTGCTCATCTCCGTTTCAAAGCCGAAGAGCCAGCACTGTCCGAACTCTGAAGACATTTCCGTGGTCATGTGGCCAGCATGACTAAACACCAAGGTGCACGGAACGCTGTTACCTTCCCACCAAAGTGGTACCTATTTATCTACTTGCAATTTCTTGCTTTCGAACTGCTAGGTTGGCAGGAGGGATGTCTGCTAGCGATAGGCTAATATGAGTTTATTAGTTGCTGTAGATTTTCCGGGTTGTGTGGCCGTGGTCTTGGCATTGTAGAACCTGACCTTTTGCCAGTAACTGTGACTGGCATCCTCAGAGGTATAAACACAGAAAGATGGAATACTCTCTGTGTCAAGGTGAGAAGAAAATGATAGGCAGTAAATGTATATCTACTCCAGAAGGTGGGTAGGGCTGAGTCATTGTCTTGTAAGAGTTGTTGTTTGACTCAGCCCTACCTTGACACAGAGGGTAATGAACTCTGGCCGTGAAAGCCTTCGACATCACATTAATATGAGGGTTTTTTGGGGGGCTGTTTTAGGCTAATGTGACTTTTTGTGGGAACTTGTTTGCAAGTCTGGGTGTTTCACATTTTTTGCATCTCGTTGCAGAGACACCGGCAGGATCGAGGCATCCGAGGTTGCCAGCTGCTAACTCCTCCTGGGACGTCTCCCGGAACAACCGTCAGTCATGTTTAACTTAATCAAAAAGGACCGAGAGGGGTCCAGAAGGGACAAGAAGGAGAAGAAGGAGAAGAAGGAGCGGATGTCGGCGGCCGAGCTGAAGAGCCTGGAGGAGATGAGTATGCGCAGGGGCTTTTTCAACATCAGCCGGGGCTCCAAGAGGGACTCCAAGCACCGGCTGGAGATCTCCAACCCCATCCCCATTAAGGTGGCCAGTGGCTCGGACCTGCACCTGACCGATATTGACTCGGACAGCAATCGGGGTAGCATGATCCTGGATTCAGGGCACCTCAGTACGGCCAGCTCCAGCGACGACCTCAAGGTCGACGACACCACCTTCAAGGGGTCTGTGCTGCAGCGGGCGGCCAAGTTCGGCTCGCTGGCCAAGCAGAACTCACAGATAATCGTCAAGAGGTTCTCCTTCTCGCAGAAGAGCCGTGACGAAAGTACCTCGGAAACCTCCACGCCGTCCGAACACTCAGCCGCCCCTTCCCCGCAGGTGGAGACACGGACGCTGGAGACGCAGCTCGCCAAACAAGGTTTGCCGCCGGGGCCTCTGCGTGCCCCGCTGGTGTCCGCCTCCCGAGCCCGGTTGCCCGAGGTGGTCAGCAAGAGGTTCCCGGCTGAGCTGAAGCTCCCAGCGGTGGTGGCCCCGGAGCCTCCGGTTCCCAGGCAGCTGGAGCTGCAGCGGCGCAACACGGGTGACTTTGGCTTCTCGTTGCGCCGCACCACTATGTTGGACAGGACTGCGGACGGGCAGGTCTACAGGCGGGTGGTGCATTTTGCCGAGCCGGGTGCCGGCACCAAAGATCTGGCTCTGGGCTTGGTGCCGGGGGATAGGTTGGTGGAGATCAACGGCCGCAACGTGGAGAATAAGTCCCGGGACGAGATTGTAGAGATGATCCGGCAGTCGGGGGAGACGGTGCGTCTTAAAGTGCAGCCGATCCTGGAGCTGAGCGAACTGAGTCGCTGCTGGCTGAGGAGTGGGGAGGGTCTTTGTAGGGCAGCCTTTGATGTAAGTATCTTCTTTACTTGTGAGCACAGTGGGTGGGGTGGGGGTGGGTATATGGGTCTGTTTCTATTTGCAGCTGGGCCAGCAGGCCTAAACTCACCTGGAGGTCCCGCTGGGCTCTGTTTGTTCAAAGTCTGACTGTATGGAAAAAAAGCCGAGATGGATGTGTAACAACATAAATTAGGAATAAACCAAGACGGTGTCCAGAAACTGGGGGTGAGGCATGTGCAGATTTGCCTCCTTCTAAGGTTGTGGAAACTCAGTCCTTCCCGTCTGTGCCTTCAGGCCAACAAGACGCCTGTGTGGCACAATCTGACTCCATCAGTTGCTGTCTCCAGTAGTAGATAAGTTCGTCTTTGAAAAGGGAGGTTAGCTCTTTTTGTCCTTATGGGTATATGGAGCGGGGGCACATCTTTCCAGCGCTGAACTGCCAGGTGTTAATATGCTGCGTAAAATAAAGCGTCTGTATCCCATTAGGGCAGTTGTGTTGGTGCACCGGAGGCTGGTTTCTAAAACTCGGTTTATTTGGATCCATCCCTCCGCTCAGAAAGGAGTACTTCCTACATCGTTTGAAGAAGCAGCGTTGTGACCACTTTGCTAGCATTTAGGGGAGGTTATTGAGTACAGGGTTGGGCTGGGACAGAGGGAGAAGGGAAAGATGTTGGTTGGGTCTGTTGTGGGAGGTGATGTTTACCACAAGCTGAGCAAGATCACCTCTTATGGCTGGCTGTGGCTTTGGTCCTGTGGATGAGGAAGGGGTAGAGAATACTTGCAAGCAGTGTTCCCCCTAAGCTGAGTTAGTGTGCGCTAGCTCTAAGTTTTTTAGCCTCTGGCTCACACATTTTTGTCTTAGCTCAGGATGGATCGGCTCCAGAGCAAACTTAATTTATGCAGCAGCCAAATTGCTGGCTCACAGCTTTAATGCCAGGAGCTCACAAAGTGGAATTTTTGCACACAAGACTCCACAGTTTAGAGGAAGCATTGCTTGCAAGTGCTTCAGGTCTGCAAAGAAGTGGATCTTTTCTTCTGGGTGTTGTTGAGCTAACTAAGGGCCGAGCACTGAAGGGACCTGTAAAGGAGGAGCCGTCTCTTCTCCTACTGGAAGGGATTTTTTTTTTTGGGGGGGGGCAGTATTTGACTGTTGCTCAGGTGACTAAGGGCCAAACTAAATATTATTGTTTTTAACAAGTTTGGCCCTGATTCTCTGGAGGCAACTTGTGTTCCCAGCAGCCACATAGCAGCTGCAGGGAATGGCTTTTTAAAACAAATGTGCTGGTTCTTACCTATAAAGCCCTTGATGGCCAGGGTCCAGTGTACCTAAGGGACCGCCTTTCCCCATATGTTCCCCCAAGAGCACTACGGTCTGGGGTGCAGCACCTACTGGTGGTTCCAGGCCCCAAGGACATCAAGCTGGCCGCAACCAGGGCCAGGGCTTTCTCGGCGGCAACTCCTGTCTGGTGGAAGGAGCTCCCAGAGGAGATCCGGGCCCTGCGGGACTTGGCACAGTTCCGCAGGGCCTGTAAGACTGAGCTCTTCCGCCAGGCCTTTGCATAGGAGCCGCCGCCGCCATTGTGCCACCATCGAGTTGCCATCTATGACGGTGGATTAGATCGATAAGTGAACTGGCCCTGGGAAGACGCCTAGGTGACCAAGAACCTATGCTGCCAGGCTAGGTGATAAAAGGATCCCATCTTGGAGAGATAAGTTAATACCTGGAGCACCGCACTTTATTTATGGATTGTTTTATACTATTTTAACTGTTTGTTATGGCATTTGCTGCTGTTGGAAGCCGCCCTGAGCCCATCTGGGAAGGGCGGGATACAAATCTAATAAATAAATAAATAAATAAAAATCCCAAATGGGCTTGAAATGGTGCTGCAGGGATGGTGCTGCAGGGGGACAAAGGGCCCCTCCCTCCCGCATAGAAATGGCAAGGGGGTGGGGGTATTTCCCTGACTTTGCTGCTCCATGTGGAGTATCTGTGCACGTCTGGCCCCAGTCTGGCCCTAAAGGATGTGTGCTGGTTCCTGACAACTTTGGGGCACAGATGTGTGAAACTGTCTTCCAAAGAGGAACTTTGTTTTGCAAAACAGCGGCGTGGGATCTGTAGGGAGGTGGGGAGAGGTTGAGTATGAAAAGCATGCTAGTCAATCCCTTCTGTTGGGAAGGCAAAGAAGAGCCTTGTTCCGCAGGACATTTGGATGAATAAGGGAGGTGAAATTGACCTGGAAGGGGCTGTTCTGAGAGTCCTTTCAGGTTTCTCCCTTTCCTGAAACGCCAAACGCCATCCGATTAGATCTGAGCTTTGAGGAGCAGGAATATCGGCAGCGTCCCAGTCCTCTCCGGATCTGTACGCAGCAGCAGTGATAAAGGCTCACAACTGAAAGAGGACCTTTCAAGTGCTCAGCTCTAAACACTTAAGAGTCAGATGTCTATAAAACAGCCTGTCAGGCGGACTAGAAGTGCCTTCTGTGTAGCTCACCCATCAAGGGGAGAGTGGGGAAGAGGCTTGCTTCAGGCAACCCAGGAAACCTCTGGCGGGTCTGAGATCTGAATGGGCTCTGAGCCTCTCACCGCGTCCTCTTAAGTTTCCTCTCCATTGCTTAAATATTTTGGGAAAGTCGACCAGTGCAGCCCAAATGCCTGGTTTCCCCCCCAGTAAACTATCTTGGGATGGAAAGGAGGCCTCCCTGGAGCACAAAGTGTATCACTGGGATGAAATCGCATATTTTAATAATGCCTATTCTGTCTAAGAAGTCCAAGGCACGAGGTGGGGCTTTGCGCTCTGGCTTCTCGTGAGTCTAATTAGACCCTCCTGGCTGTTCATGGTTGTGTTTCGGTGGGCGTGGGGAAATTACCGTAATTAATGTCTGTTCTGCACACCTCCTAGCAAACCGTTGGCTGTAAGCAAACACTCAGTAGTATTCTTCACATTTAGAAAAAAAATTGTGTTACCGCACGTTTCAGCCACAAATTAGTTCTTGAATTGGTCTACAGTATTAAAAACGTAGACAAACATCAGCTTAACAAAGAAGGTGTCAGGGAGGGAGTCGGGAGTGAAGTTGGGAGTTACAGAATCATAGAATCATAGAGTTGGGAAGGGGGCCATAAAGACCATCTAGTCCAACCCCCTGCCCAATACAGGACCAGCCTAAAGCATCTCTGACAAATATTCGTCCAGCCTCTTCTTGAAAGCTGTCAGGGAAGGGGAGCCAACCACCTCCCTAGGCGGCTGATTTCCCCTTTGAACCACTCTGACCGTGAAAAAGTTTTCCCTAATATCCAGCCAATACCTTTCTGCATGTAATTTAAACCCGTTGCTTCGGGTCCTGTCCTCTGCTGCCGACTGGAACAGCTCCTTGCCCTCCTCCAAATGACAGCCTTTCGAATATTTCAAGAGAGCAATCCTGTCCCCCCTCCGTCTCCTCTTCTCCAAAGGAAACATTCCCAAGGCCCTCAGCCTTTCCTCGTAGGGCTCAGTCTCCAGACCCCTGATCAAGGAGGAACCAGGATGGACTCCACTCTGAGGGCCTTGTCGATGACCACTGAGCAATCCTGTCCCCCCTCCGTCTTCATTTAGATAAAACTGTATGTTAACACAAGTGCACCCAAATGCCATGCATGAAATTTAAGCAAAGGGTGAGGAGTGGGCCCGATCCAAGCATGATGGAGGGATGCCTGGCTGCTTCTTGCCCTCCTTGCTCGTGGCAGTTGAGAGGTGGTGGTTTGCAAAATTCTTGCAGTTTTTTTTTTAATAAACAAATTTTATTATTTTATCTTGCAGTTTGGAGGCTTTGGCAGGAAGGAGGGATTCAATTTCTATCTTCTTTACTCCAGCCGTTTTTGGCCTCTCATGTTCTAATAAACATCCTCCAGGGTGTGGGTCTTTCTATTTCAGCTGATATATCCTCCAGAGCATTAAGTTTCACTTGCTGCTTCAGGTTTTGTCCTCACTGGTTTCCAGGTGCAGGGAGATCCGGCATTTAGCTGTGTTGATTTTTTCCCCTACAAATCTGTGTGGCTGAACAGGAGCGCTGCCCCACAGAGGGATTGTGTGTGGTTGCAGGGCAGGCATCTTTTATACATAGCAATGAAGACATTGAGTACCTGCAGGGAGGCGTAAGCGGAGGCATAATGGGCAGATGACCCACATTCTGTTGGCTGTCCCCTGGTTAGTAATGAAGCTCATGCGTGTATTGCTGGTGTACCTCAAAACCCCTGAAGGGCCCAGTTTCTCAGAGCGTTATGGCATGAAGAATCCTGTTGGTGCATTTCTTCCTGGCATCAGATGCCAGATAAACTGCTGGGGAGGGATGCTTATATATAGTACAGGTGTTGGGAGCAGTGTTCCCTCTAAGCTGAGTTAGTGTGAGCTAGCTCACAGTTTTTTAGCCTCCGGCTCACACTTTTTGTCTTCGCTCAGGAAGGGATGGCTCCAGAGCAAACTAATTTATGCAGTAGTCAAATTGCTCGCTCACAGCTTTAGTGCCAGTAGCTCACAAAGTAGAATTTTTGCTCACAAGATTCCAAAGATGGCAAGGAAGCCCATGTTTGTAGGCAGCCACTGTGCCCACTCACATGCAGGTGGTCAGGCAAGAAAGCCTTATAAAACTTGGTCTGGGGTTGTCTTTTGCTTCTTCTCTTGGCTGCGTGTGGCAGACGTGAAGGGTGTGTGGGATCTTTGAGGACTGGTTAAGTCTCTTCTTTTGCAAGGCTGGTTAAGTTTCTTCTCTCATGGGCAGCCTTTCAGCACAACCAGGGCCTGCCTAACAAATGAGTTCAGCACCCCTGATCTAGCGTGTGATCGCAGCCCTTGTCTTTACATTCAAAACACAAAAACACGATACAACCAAGGCGTCTCCCATCCACTCCTTCTCTCAACATGCAAGGCTCTGCTCTGTCGGCCTTCATGTATGGACCGGAGCTTCCTCAGTTGTGGCTTCATCCTTGGGGCCCTGGGAGAGATGCCAGGATCTGCTGGTGTGGCTCAGTTGGTCCTCGTT